TATAAATAGAACAGTTAACATATTCAAATATATATATATATATATGTATTAAAATGCAAATATATACTTTTATAAACTTATATATTAAAATCAAATTGCCCTTTTTCTCTATGTCTCCATCTTTCTCTCTCTCATGTCAATGCAAACCGAAGGCCTAACTACCAGGTTCCTCTTTTTCCCACTTCGCCTAATCTCTGCACTCTCTCACTCTGAGCCTTAAGCTCGGCAAAATCCTAATCTCCCTTCCTCCCAAACAACAAAAAAAACCAGAAAGTCGGGACTGAGTTAGGCGACCAACTCGTCCTGGGTCAGGTTCAAGTTGGAGTCTGGAATGGACCCTAAGCCAATTAGGTCAAGGCTAGGTCAGGGCCAACCAGACCCGTTTACATTGCTATTGATCATCTCTCATGACTAGTTCTTGAAAAGGAAACTACTTATATCAGGCTCAGGTCAGATTCGGGTCTAGGTAGGGGGAGACCCAACCCATTTGCAGCCATATTGATCATGTCTCATGACTGGTTCTTGAGAAGAAAACAAATCATACATTTATAAGACAATGAAGGATTTCGACAAGACTTTATATTGACATATATAGATAAATGGTCAGATAAAAAATAACATCATCATCATCATCCAAGTCTTATCCCAATTAATTGGGATCGACTACATTAATCATATTTTTCCATTCTTCTCTATCAAATAAACCACTTGTAAATGATGCTTGCTTCATGGAATATCTGCTCTGTTTAAAAAAGAACTCTTCTGGTTTGGGATCTAACTTTATTCCCCCGGGTAGGCTTCAACTGAAGTAACTGCCTAAACAAGGAGGGCATTGATTCACCCTTGATAGTCAATATATAGCAGCTTCTGATACTTATAACAGTGGCGGGATAAGCACACCAATAATTCCCACCCATTCCCTCCTATTCCAATACTTATTAGAGTGGCGGGATAAGCACGACACTAATTCCCTCTCATTCCCTCAGTAAGAATAGGTTCATAACTCATGATAAGATGCGGCAAAGTTTATATTGGTTGTCTGCCTAATGCAACCCACCTCCTATACCCATGCTTGGGATGGGTTAAGAGAAAAATTAAGTTCCTCACCCTATAAGAGAGGGTAAGATGATGCAAAGTTTTTTTTTTTTTAATAAAAATGGGAAATTGCAACATAAGGCTCCCACTTTAGCAAAAGAGCGTGTATACTGTGCTCCCTCAGGAGCATACTATACATTTACTCCCTTGAGCAAAACACTTAGTTGGGACATTTTTTATTTTTATTTTTTTAAAGAAAAATTGGTATTCATCTAAGTATGACTAGATGATTATTTTTAAAGATAAATTTTTGAATTTTGAGTTCTTGAACATCTAGATCATTCCCTCCAAAATTCATCAAGAATTATTAATGCAGCAAGAAATAGACACTTTCATTTAGAAAATAAATTTCGTGGGATTCCTATTCAAAAGAAGATGAGATATGACAGTTAAGGTTAAGTAACAATCGCAAGGTTAGCTAATGCAGAAGGAAATGTAATTTGGAGACTTGAAAGATCCAGAAAATAAAAGCGATAGTAGTAGTAGTGGGACACAAGCCAAATTGATTAGTTGCTCCAAATCCCACTTTTTTCACTGGGAATTGATAAGAAGTGGCTGTGGCTTGGCCAGTTGAGGCCCATGGAGAGGTCAATCACCCAGAATTCAATTGTGAAATGGGAAGTTTACTCGCTAGTGAAAGCAAGGATTCCCATGGCATCCAGATATAGGATCTTAAAACTAATTTACGGATCCTTAGGACTAATACAGCTCAGTCTAAATGATTAGACCAAAAAAACAACTAATGAAGAGACTCCTTTCCTCTCACATAAAGATGCAATAAAGAGCTAAGCCAAATTATGGTTATGAATTATGGGCCTCTAGTCTCATCCTGGAAATTGATGCTGATGGTATACAAAGATTACCTTGTGAGGTAGTCTGACCTAGGAGTAAAGGTTATTGTTGCAATCAAGGGGGAAAAAAACCATCTGCGCTTTTATGTCCAATCTCAATGATCGGCTTTCCTAGCACAACATAGTGTGTTTTTTTTTCTTTTTCTTTTTCTTTTTTTTCTTTTCTTTTTCTCATCCTCCTTTTCTATCCGAAATGGTCTATTTCATCACAATAGAACGTCAATATACCACAATAATGCCTAAAGCAGAAAAGCTTATGGGCAAAAATAATGCCAGCCATGATTTGCCTTCCTAACTAACCTGCCTTTATCCACGACAGGCAGGCCACAGAATTACCATCTTCAATATGACAACACATGACCTTTTAAACATTAGACAATAAATATATTATCATATTTGTCACAACGGTTACAATAATCTATGAGATCTCTATAGTGAAAATATAAATGACAGATAAGTTTTAATATACATAATGTTTATAAAAAGAGACGATGACGATGTCTGGTGCCACACAGTGAATAAAACAATAAACCAGAGAAAACAGCACTTGTAATCAAACCCAGAGCTTTTAATGATTTGCTAACCTGCTGCACCAGAAGGAGAGGCATCAGGACAGTGACGCCCACTCAGCAAATTTGGGTGATAGAGAAGGTGAAGCTTTCCTCCAATCTCCGAGTCCAACACAAAGCTCTCCTCTGCCAATAATCTCAAATGCTGATTTGTTGCTATCCATGGTAAGCCTGCACCATTCCCAAAAGAAGGTAACACATCTCCACCCCTTGCAGCCAAACGCTCCATTCTTTCAGGACCAATCGGCTCCTTGAAAATGTATATTGGACCCATCTCAGCAAAGAGCGGGCACTGGCGCCGACGCCTTTGCAAACCAGCCATGGTAGGAGGGGGATTTGTTCCAATACAACAAAAGGCAAGTGGCTTAGAGATACGAGGGAACTCAAAAGGGCGGCTCTCATACAAATATCCATCAATATACAATCTCAGCTCACTCTCTGCTTTACCCAACAAATTTTGCTTGTGGGTGTGCTCCAAACCAATAAAATACCAACACTGAGACTTGAAAGCATAGGTAAAATGCAGAGAGGCCTTCTTACCCTTTCCACTCCCACTTTCAACCACCAAAAACTGGCCATGGAAGTAAGCTTCAACACCTTGGTTATCAGCTGATAGAAAACTAAAGAGTCGAGGCATATGGGCAGTTCCCTCACCAGCCAAAGCACTTGCAGCAGCTGCAGCTGACATGGCCGACGATTTCCCAGACTTAGCAGCAGCAGCAGCCGCAATGGCAGCTGCTGCTGCAGCTGTATTCAAAGTGTCAGCAAATGATTCAATATAAAGCCACGTAACAAAGGCATAGCCATTAGAGAAGGGCCATCGACTCTCTCCTGGACCCAACAAGCCCGAGCTTTCACCATCAAACTCAAATGTACACGTTGGGCCCTTGGCCTCCATCCCACCCATTGCCTTTTCCAAGGAAAGCATCATATGCTTTGCTCTACCAGTCGAAATGGTGTTGCTCACCACTTGGAGCCACTGTTTCAAGTGGGTTACGCTCATAGAGTGAGAACCCAACAATTGAACGCACTGGAACAAAGGACCAGATTCCCAAAACTCGAAATTAAGATCTTCTACTAAGAGCCTCTCTATAGATGACAAAAGGGCTGGAAGCAGATCAGCAACCGAACACATTGACCTGTTGCGAGTGCAAGCCCTCAAAATCATGGACAAACCCTTAACCATTCGACTCCTTGGAGACAGATGACTTCCAGTGTCTCCTGCACATGGGAGCCATGGAATTAGCATAGCTGAAACAACAGCTGCCTGCGCATTAAGCATCACACTCGGTGGGTTACCATTATCCCCATGATCATCAAAACCTTCAATGCCACCCATTGTAGCTAAAAGCACATCAACCACCAATCTCGAGATGCTTTCTCTCTCCTCTTCTATCACAGAGCTCTCATCCCCACTAACTATAGCTCTCAATCTCTCCAAGCTGGAGGAATCTCCTTGTATGGCTGATTCCACTAAGAGTATAAGCTCTGGTGACACGTTGGGCATGGTGGGCTTGGATCTGAGCTTTTGAGGTGAAACCACGGGGGAATCGAAGCTCACAGAGGAGGACGATAGCCTCAAAACAGGACTTGAGCTATAATCACCCTGCATCTCAACTGATGATGCTTCAATTTCTCCTAATCCTCTCCCGGTAGATGAATTAGATACCTCTTCATTGCCTGAAACCAGACTAATCGAATCAGAAACAGAGGAACAAATCGAATCATCTTTGCCTACAGTTTCTGATGTGATTCTCTCTTGGTCCCTTAATGAGACTTGTTCAAATTGGTCTTCTTCAGATCGACAAACCGATCCATTCCAGTTCTCAGCGCCAGAATGGGAAAACAAGGGCTCATCACCTTCTAGCCGTTTGATTTCATCAGCACCTACGGTCCTGATCGGGTCAGGGTCTGGTGAGTCTTCCATTTTTAAATTAGAGTCTATTTACCCTGAGGTCATCTGCTCAATGCAACAGCCCTGGATCAAAACGCTGAAATAATCAATGGTTTCCCTAGAATTGACCAGGTTTTAAACAAATTTGTTCATGATTCAATTTCCCTGGAAATTGATTTTATATAATGATCATCAAATACGAAGACTCAAACTGATTAAAAAACAATTAAAACAGTGTACAGTTGTTTAGTCAAATAGATCTCCAAGAAAAAGCCCTAAAAAACCATTGATCCATCCAAAAACCCAAACTTGAGCACATATAGATCCATTTCTCCAAAATTAATCAATATAAAACTGAAACAACGAGTGTAAACCAACTGAATCAATTAGAAATCAGATCAATCCCTCGAGCTCCAAATCAATGAACCAATCACAGCTCTATCGTCGATGAAATCACCATGAGAACAAGCACTGCATCAAGATTACCAGTGCAAGTATCAGAATTCAAATGCCATTAAATCTGAAACGGAACTACAATTTTCAAATAAGCTACACATTTTTAAATGCAATTCACGAGATTGAATTTTTGAAAAATACCTCAACTATCAGTGAATTACTGAGAGAACACATAACACAAAGAGAAAAATATCAAAATCTTCATAGAAATTAAACTCTCTGTTGTTTTTGTTGTTTCAGTATCCGGGTTGGAAATGGAATAGGAGGCGGTTTAAGCGCCAACATCGGGGTTTGTTCGTCTTATATACGCGGAAATGTGGAGCTGACCAGCCACCATTTTGAAAATGTCGAAATAGTCCCATTCACTTACAAAGTGAAAGCTTCTTTTTTTTCGCATTTAATAAACTAAATTCATTTAGTCTTTTTAAGGTAAGACTAGACGAATTTTGATCCAAGGGTTATATCCTCGATGAATAATAAGTCTTCATGTATTTTATTTTTACTTTTATCATGTCCTTTTGGGCATATCTCTCGTCCTTTTTGAAGCTTTCATTTAAACATTTAATCAACTAAATTTGAGGGTAATTAATGGCATTTACATATAAATGTCCTTTTGGTCATATCTCTCGTCCTTTTTGAAGCTTTCATTTAAACATTTAATCAACTAAATTTGAGGGTAATTAATGGCATTTACATATAAGAGAGAGGGTAGTTTTCAGTAGATGCTACAAGAGAATTATAATCTGTTTCATACCCTAGATAACTGGATTTTCCAAATTCAGATTCACCTGATCGGAACCGAATCTAACTAAAGAGAACAAAGAGTGAAAAATAACAATCGCATGTAAGTCCATATTAAACTCAGGTGATTTTGAGTCGTATTGATGATTTTTAAATTAGTGGACATCCCTAGCTAGAGATGCATGTCAATGTAGGATCTTGGTGTAATTATAATATCGAGATAATAAACATTTATACTTTTTTAAAAAAATCGAAATTCTTATAAATGTAAGGTTAGAGGTTACCTTTCTAATGAAGGAATAATCCTTAAAAGTTTTCCTTTCCGGTGAAGTTAATAATCCTTAAGAGAGAGGCTCTCTTGATATATATATACATGCACAAAAGTACTTTATTTTTAATTTGATTAGTATAAAATGATTAAAAGGATGGTATTTATGAACGGGAATAGATCATGTCAGTCAGCCCATAGGTTAACAGCTACAGCGTCAGCTAATGGTTCAAATTGATTTTGAACGGATCTAACGGTTACAACCTCATTTTGTATTTTAATTTTCATCATTTTTCTATAAATCCAAATTACTTGAAACTTTAGGAGTTCATTCTTCTCATCAAGACACACCTAAAAAAAATATTAAAAAATATTTTATAAAATATAAATTGATCAAAATACCTCTGAAAAGTTTTAGGGGTGTTTTGGTTAATATTTATTTTGTGTATATTATTTTCTATATTTTTATTAGATTTTTCTATTTTTAATTAATAGACGCTCAAAATTTTAACTAATTTAGATTCATAAAAAATTAAAATTTAAATACAAAATGATGTTGTGACCATTGGATCGGTCCCAGATTCAATCTGAGCCATTAGTAGACACTGTAGTTGTTAACCCGTAGGCTGACATGATTCATTCCCTTTATGTACTTAACTTTTCTCCTAATTAAACTGCTAATGAAGGTATGTATTATAGAAAAAACTGAATTGGACTAAGATGTAACTTACATTGAACTCCTATTTTGCAAGGCCTTCTAAGTAAGCAAAATGCACAAAAGTCTCTCTCCATGGGATCCTATACAGTTTGACATCTCTAGTTGATTGTGGTAGTGTATATGAAAATTAATAATAAAATATATACACTGAGA